AATCAAGTTCAGCTTTGGTGATTAATAAACAGTCTCCAATATTGAAACAGTGAGTTTTTATATTCTTTTAAAGTAATAAACCAATTAATAAATGATCTAAATATTTTTGTTTTAAATAGACCAAAGAAATCAAGATCCGGTTATTCTTTATCAAAGAAAGCATCTGGAAATTTTTCTGAAAAAAGTTCCTTCAAAAAACATTAATAATATTTTAGTAAAAGAATTATATAAGTATTTACAACATTTTTAATTTTAAAATTTTTTTTTAGCTTTATTGCTAAAAATTACTTTATTTGTTTTTAGCACAATAATAATTTTATGAAAAGTTCTCATTAGTTGTAAGAATTATACCAAATATGCCGTCCTAATTTTGGTTGTTGTATATGTTAAGAAAATTAATCATTATAATTATTATGTTATTTTTAACACTTAAGAGCACTTTCTTTTTATATTTTGTATTTTAATTTAAAAGTTAATAAATTATATTTATGTTTGAGTGAAAAATAAAACATTGAATGAAGTGATATTATTATAAAATACTATATTGTAATAATTATATATATTTATATTTTTTACAATCTAATGATTAAAATTTAAAATCCCTAATTCAATTTTTAGAGATCTGAGTCAGAATATTTATTGATTATACCCTGTTTTGAAATTTGATTATGTAAAAATAATAGATATATGATTTAATACATTAAATGTATCTAATTCTGTAAACTTATAAACAATATAATAATTAAAATTTTAAAAAGTATTGATAAAAATATATTTTATAAGTGTTTAAAGTTGAATTACATTGCAATTAATTATTTTATTTCTAAATACTAAATGCTAACACCTTAGTTATTCAAACAATAATATGGATAAGTTTTATGAGACATTTATTTTTTATAAAAGATAAATTTTTTTATTATTTTATTTATAAAAGTTGTAGCTTTTAAGTTTCAAACCCATACATTTCTTCTCAAAGATATTCACGAAACAACTCAGAAAATGCTTTTTTCTAAACAAAAATGAATATATTTTTAGTTTGTCATGCATTTATGATATACTATAAATTAAATAATTTATAATTTTGTTTTAATAATATGTTTTAATTTAAATAAATTCCATAATATACTTAACTAATGATAAAATTAAATGTGTAAAGTATCTAAATTATTTATTACAAAAAGAGACAATTCTGACTAAACATCTAAAAATAATGTTTGGAATTATAGTTTACAAAAAGTTGCATGTAAAAGTGAACCTATCCTCTTTTTGTAGTTAGCGATCCATTGTCAATGCATTAAATGGGATTTCTTTAAAAAGCGCACTTTTAGCACTTACAAAAAAAAAAAAAAAATATGAATACAATTATCTCAAATTATTTACTAATCAAGAAAGTAATAATTATAAAAAAATATATCAACACAACCACTGAGCAAACTGAACAATTTTAATTATTCTGTATCTGTAATAATAAGTACCTAGTATATACATAAATAATTATCAAAAATAGGTAGCAATTTATTCTTAAAAATACAAAAGTGCACGTAAAGGAGAAATCATCCCGTACGGTTAACAACTGAAATTCCGTAAGAATTTTTAAATTTAAAACATGGCTGGTAAGTGGGTACGCTCTGCCGGCTGTACATTAGATATCGAGTGGGTCACTAATATTGATGTATTAAATTTGAATTCAACGATTTATCATTGTGTAAAAAAAAAAAAATGATTTTTAACGGAAACGGTCTGTTAATTCTATTAACTTATAATATCACTATGACACTATGTATACCTATTAAATTTCATGACATGTTTTTTTGATATAATAACTAGGTATTAAAGTTATTTATTTCACATTTAATATTACGGTAAGTTGATTTAGATTTTTCTGAAAACATCGCATTTATTAGCATTTAATTATTATAATTATATATATGTTTGCCAAATAATATCAACTGATTACTATTCTATTACTTAAACAATTTTTTTTTTTTTTTATTAGATATAAGACTTCAACATCACAGCAGGTCATTAGCTTATACCAGAGATGGGCAACTCAAAGTAACTAGCGGGCCACTTTTAAGTACTTTAAAATCTAGTGGGCCGCAGTGCATAGGAAAAGAAAGCAAAAAAAAAAAAAGGTCCTTCAAATATACTAACATTTATTTTTTTATATTTACAATTATTATTTAATCTGATACTTGAGAATGAGGTTTTTCAATAGACAATTTAGTAAAATCCACTTCTATTTCTGTAGTTGAAACTCTTAGTAAATGTCCCATGGTTTCATCTGTTAAACGATTTAATAATTTAGTTTCGGTTTAAAACTAGATAAGAATTTATATCCACATTTTATCGAAAAATGTAATAAAATAAAATACAGATAAGCGCTAAAATTATATGAAGTAATTTGAAAATGTAGCGCGGGCCAGATAAAAAAGGTACGCGGGCCGCCAGTTGCCCATCCCTGGCCTATATTATACCTATTTATTACTCATTCATAAATTTATATTTAAAAAAAAAATAAAAAAATTGAATTTTTAAGTTAAAACAAAATAAAGAAATCAATTTAGTTAAAATCAGATTTAGCTGAAATTCCCATTTTTCTTTAATATTTTGTTTGTTTTTCCCGATTATAATTTATAAAAATAAAGAACTGGGAATCTTTAACTTTGACTTTTTTAAAGAACAAACCATATCTTATTTTCTATCCAAAACCATACACAAAATTGAATTTTACTCATAACTTATTATGTAGGTATACACTCAAAAAAAATCACATCTTGTAAAATCAATGCAAAAACTATATTTATTAGTAGGTATTGTAACTTAATTATTGTGTGTATGTATCTATTCTATTTAATATTATTTGCATTTTTAGTTCTTCTTTTCTATCCCACTTCCACAAATATTCATGTAAATTTATTGATTATTTTTATTTAAACCTATTATTGTGACCAACACGCAAGGTCTCCGGTTATAATTCTCTGCGGATTGTGATTGGTTTTAAACAACTCTCACGTCACATAATTTCCGTGCTGCAATTATGTAAAGAGCTTATTGATTTTTTCGACACACATAATACTTTATTAGTTATCTGTAAAAAATATAGCGTATAAACATTAAATAAGTTATAATATAATACTTTTAATTTGAAAACATCGATTAAAAATACTATATATAAGTATTATTTAACAAGAAGTTGTGTCGAGTCCATTATACTAGCTATTAAGGGTAGTGTGATGTGTGTGAAGTTGATATCTAGTTAAGGATACCACTTTGGCCGTCTTAGGTAGAAATCGGGGGAGGAGTTTGAGAGAAATACATCCCCTCAAAAGTTTTAAACACAGGTTTTACCCTTTTTGTCCCTTACAATTATGTAGTACCTATATGTTTAAAACTTTTGGCGTGTACCTACTACGGGTGTTATGTTGAACCAATATGAATATTAATCTAATACAATATTTACATTTTAATGTACTTATAATCTAAACTACCTTACGTGAAATAAGAAATGCATAAATGCAACATTGCAACATACAAGCAAAACTGACTAATAATGATTGAACATATAGAAAAACAAATATAATGAAAGGGTAGGGTGATGGCATATTATTATATTAAGTTTATTTGCGTTTAGAGACTCGAGCCACCATTGTCTATTATTAATGTATAGGTATAGGAAAGCTCTTAAAAGTAAACACTTATAATTAATTAGGTTCGAAATTCGATTTTTAAACATTGAAATATCCCGAAAAATGTTCCCCTTGGAATGTTATTAGTAAAAATGATTTTTCCCAAAAATGTTTAGCAACGAATTAAAATAACAAGAAAAAAAAAATAAAAAAAATATTTTAAAAACATTTCTAATTTTCTAGACAACGAGTGTTTATTTTTTAGGGTATCGCTGAGTATAGTATATTAGTTTAGGTTAATTTATCAAATATATATTAATAGGTGCTATTTGAAATAATTTCGTTGATTTAAAACTTAAAAATATCTTCTTAAAGTAAATTATCATGTTGTATTATATCGTTCACATCAGCTATTTTTATGTAGATAGTTAGATAATAAGTATAATTTTATTTGTTTATATAAAAAAAAAATTTAAATAGTAGGTATCAAGTTTAAGATTAAATAAGTTACTGTAATGATTTTGTTAAATATTAACTTAATGATTAATTATTAATCACGAAAAATGATTTTAAGCAAAGATAGTTTGTCAGCTTATATTACTACTTAAGTATGTTGGTTATTAGTTAGGTAATAGTTATTACTCATTAGTAAATTATTTTACTATACCTATTAGTATTATGGTAAATTTAATTCGTTTTCAACAAAAAAATAAAGCATTTTAATTAAATATTTAATTATTAAATGAAATTTATTTTTGCTATTAATTTTTAAGTTGATAGGTATTATTTATTTTAATTTAAAAATATCTTAAGAAATCTTCACCCACTCTCCCACCTAGTACTAACTAGACGTTTAGACCTAAATTTCTACCAAAAATCACTTTAGAAATTGAAAATCTAAACTTTTTTTTTATATAATAAAATGTGTAGTTACACACACACATTATCATTGTAAAACCAATACGTTTATCACTTCGTTCAGGATATAAAATTGAAAATCTTTAGGTATTTTTAATTAAATCATAAATAACGTATTAATGTATTATCAACACAATAACTGAATAGTACACGATAAATTATATATATTACAAAATATGTTACAATAGTCGCGAGAGAAACAAGTCGGTTACAATAATATAAAAATTATATCGAGTAACAAAAATAATGTATAAAATAATTATGGTGTAGGTACAATTATTCATTTTAAAATTAATGGTACAATGCATATTTTTTATTAAACTGAAGGCTATAAATGTATTTTTTCTTGTGCATGTAAGTACATAATGTGTAATAAAAAATAAATACATAGGTATAAAATATAATATGCATGAAAAATTTATATTGTTGTAATAAACTTGAATTATTCTCGTTTATTATTTAAGCTTATTACAAATATTTATACATTTTATTATTATATAATTGTGTGTAAATATATTAGTAACGGCTCTTAATTCTTATAGGTGGGTTAGGTACCTATATACTTTATACTTTTATCTAAGGATAAATGTTTGTATATTATGTATGAATATTCGTATAAAATATAAAGTCTATACACGTCATAGAAGTTATAGTGAGTTATCGTATTCTGATGAATTTTTATGAATTAATTTATAATTGTATAATGCCACGTGCGCGCGTGCTTATTGAATAGCGGTGTACAGTGTACACTCGTTTTTCAAATCATCCTTTGGGATAATATCAATTAATTGTATTTATTTTTACGCTACTACCCCGTTTGTGGGAACAAATGATCTAGTATCTATATTACTATTTTATATCTTAGTAATTTATTAGGTTTTTTAATCCGGAATAGATCTGTTCTTTTAAAAAACCATTTGACGGATGGATAATGAATACTAAACTGAAATATTTTTTATTTTTTTACAATTATACAATTAAGCATAGTTTACGATTTTGACAAGTTGCAAAATAGTTAAGTTCATTTAAGTTTCATGTGGTTATATACTTATATGCATATGTGAACACTGTTGGTACGATATCGGTTGTCTGAGATTATACATTATTAAAAATCTTAAAAAAATATAATATTTGGTCCCAATTATAACGAATAGGACAGCAAATAATTATTAAGAATAACCTAATAGTATGTAATGGCGGTGGAACTTTTTTTTCTTTTTAAATCCACCGTAACTAAAAGGGAATGCACCACGATGATGCGGCACGTGCAATTCGAAGGCCGTCAGCGTCCGGGAAATGCATTTTTCGCGGTGGCCCGTCGGCATCGCGTCAACAGCGTTTGCAGTGACCGGCTTGGTAAAAGTACCTCAGGCTCTTGACGTACAGCGAATTGACGCCGATGAGGATCTTTTCCCACTTGTTCAGCGACGCCCTCCGCGGGTACGTCGGGCTAGCCTCCAACGCGCACGCCACGCCCCGGTAAATGTCGGTGGCCACCAGCACGGGGCCGCGCACCTCGTACGGCAGGAACCGGATGCCCTCCAGCGACTCCAGCTGGTACCGCTTGGCCAGGCTGATCATGCGCGTGGTGTACGCTTTCAGCTTATCGGAACCGAGCGTCCACGGGTTCCTGTCGGCGCACAGGACGTTCATGTCCGCGGCCGCGTCGTCCATGTACTCGGCGGGCACGTAGCACCGGCCCAGCGTCTCGCTGTCTGTAACGATGTCCCGGGAGATGTTGACGATCTGCAGCACCTGCGGTACACGTAAAACATGACGCGTGAAAAATAATTTTCCAAAAAAATCGTGTGCACGCCGAATACCAATGCGCCGGCGCCTAAGTGACGCCTGCACGTCGCATGGTTATGGTGTCGTGTGCGATGTATAAACATAGGTGTGAACGGGTATTAAATATATTGCGTGAATTGTTTCGAAGACCAGCCAAGACTCGTTACTCACTGTTTCATTTTCTGTTTAATATAATTTTTTCATTTAATTAACGGCGTACGACAGGAGTTTACGACCTTTCCGTGACTTTTCCGATTTAAAAAAAAATTTAAACGGTATAAAATAAAAAATTCTATACATTAATTACTGCAGACAGGGCTCCTTCCTTGAAACAACCGGCGACGCACAGGTTGAAAACTTCAGCTCTATGAAACTATGCGTCACGGTAAAAATTTATAAAAACAATTCGTGTCTGTGGTATATTTATACGTATAATATTGAATTAAAAAACACATAATTAATAAAAAAAAAAAATGTCTTTTAGAAAATATTAAATAGGTATAAACACGTAAATAGGTATAATTAAAAAAATATGCAAGCAATTGTATTTTAAAATGTCTTTTTTAATTCGTAATTGTATGAAAAATATTACTAGCTTGGTCTTCTATAGATTTAGAGAATATAAAAAAAATATGCAAATCTTACAAATTTTTAATCCTAAATAATATATGTATATTATATACATATAAACAGTATAATTTTTCAAGCATGCTAATTCCTTTTTTTTTTTTTAATAATACAGTTATTCAAAACCTGACTTTTGAATTTTGAAATATACTTAAAAACTGTATTATTTTGAAATTTTTTTGTTCTATTTAAAGGAGTTGTCCTATCGAGATACAAACTTTTGTTTTTAAAAAAAGAACTCTTCTTTTCTATTATAAATTATTTAGCAGATAATTATTATGAATATTTTGATACTTTGTATTAAATTCAAAATTCAAACTAGTAGTTTTGGAGTTATTTAATTTAATATATTAAAGATAATTGGTTTCAAAGATATAGGGGCTAAAGAGATTTTAGAATTTTAGTAATTAGTATTGATCCATCAATATTTTAATATTTTATGGTTTGTAAAAATAGCTTAATATCATAAACATTAGATCTAACAAAGCTTTGATTTTATATTTTTATATTTTTCAAAAATTTTTTTGAGGACTATTCTCTTTAGTATAAATATTTTAACATTTGAGAACTTATACACTCGAATCCTGAAATTTTGAATAAGGTATATTAAAATTTCAATAGAAAAAAAAATTATATCTCATTTGAAAAACAAAAAATCATGTCAACGACACAGTAGTATATTTTTTAAGTAATACACAAAATATCAGGTGTTTGAAAGTATAGATTTTAAGTTTAGGTATTTAGAAATTCTAAAAACTAGAATTTGAATAAATTTATTAGTAAAGGAAAACATTTGGGTGAGCGTGCTAAAGAATTATCCTGTATATGAATACATATTCATCATGTGCATTCTCACCTGTCCCATCTGCTGTGCTTTTTCAATAACGAAATTATGCCTTGCATCGTCGTCGATATTTACATTACTCTTGTACATCATCACATATACGCACAGCGTCCCCACGCTACCAGCCACGTAGCTCGAGTACAACAGCAGGTCAGTCTCGTTTTGAACAATTTTACCGTTAACGTCCCATCGGTAGCCGTCGAGCAGCTCATAGAATGGTTTACGCGGCAGGTAAAAGGATATCTGCGATATGGCCCGAAAGCACGACAGTTCCTCGGCGGTTAGTTCTTGGCGGTACCGTTGCCAGTCCACTTCTGGTTTCCGTGGTGTCAACGTCTTCACGTCGTAGTCTGCACTTCTATCCGCGAAAATTTCACCAATAAACCTTTCAATCAGTGCCAACTTCTGCTTCTTTACACCGATGTTCGGATCGCCGTCGATCATATCGTCCGTCACCCGACAAAATGCGTATAGTATGATCAAATGCAAACGTATTCCTGCGAGAAAGATAGTGTAAAACTGGGGTAATCAATTAATATATTTAATGTGCTGTTTTAGAAATTAAAGGAGGTATTTAGAGTTCTCGGAATTTAATATAACTACATGCTTATACACAGAAATTAAAGGAAAAAAAAGATGAAAATGAATAAAAACGCCATTTAATTCACCGCCAAAATTAATAATTTAAAAAATAAATTTCAAACAGAATATTATCGAGTGTTCAAAAGGTTTTAAAGCGAATTCACTGTTATAATACATGCTTATGAATTCTGTGGATATAATAAGTGCATCGTGCATAAACGTATATACACTCAATAGACGAGTAAGATAAGTGCATTACTGCTGCAGTATTCTCGTTAATGTTATTTATGATATATATCGGTATATTATTTATATTATATAAATTATTTATGTATATATTTAGGTATACATCAAGTTAAGGACGATTTATCATGAAAATATAATTTATATAGATAATTATTAGAAATTTTCGATCTATCGTTGAAAATGAACTAGCTTGTAAAATAATATAAAAATATAACTGTAATATATATACAAATACATAACAATATTACATCATATACATCATATATCTCGTAATACAGTACATTATTTTTATGTGAGATATAATTAACATAACATTTGGGAATCAGCTTTTGAAGTTTTGATACCGACAACATTTTTAGAGCAATTCGAAGCAAAATGTATATCTATATATAATAAATAATATATATTATACATGAATATTGTTTCGTTTACTTCGGATATATAAATATAATAATAATTTGACGACTTAAAAAAAGATAATATCCACAACTGGATCATCTTCTATACAAATTATATCTATAAGTACACAGTAAAATATATACTTTACCTGCTGGAAAAACGAGACTGGCCACGTTGAACGACTTGGAAGCCGTTTTCAGTACGTTTAAACACCGTCTGATGTCGTTGACTGGACTTGGAGACATGTCGCATTCGGCAGTCAGGAAAGCTCGCATTTGCTGAATGTTGTATTTCCAACTAGTGTCGTAATTGAGTAGAAATTCAAACGTATACGTGTCTGCAAGCCCGTAGGACTTGTCGAAAGCCATGCTGCCCAGGACGATTATTACGTTGGTGATCAGAAAGAACAGGCATTCCTCAAACGGTAAATCATCGACGACGAATATGTTCAACGAAGTTTTCTCGTTAATGTGCCATACGTCATCTTTAAGTGCTATCCGGTCGACCCAGCACAAGTATAAAGTCGGAACGATTACCGCGATCGCTGTCGACGTTGATTTTTTGACAAAGTAATTACCAGCACCGTACCATAAGAACATTATGACTGGGCACGACCACCAGAGAATGCAACCCAAATAGAACGTATCTTTACCCGGTACAGCTATGTTGTAGCCTTGAATTGCCGTAAACGCTAAAACTAATATTGGTATCCAACGGATCAGTGTGTAGCTTGTTTTATTGAAATTGAAATAGAAACAAGCCGGAGACCATCTTGTACAAACCAAGGCCCACAGTGAAGTCATTACAGTTTGTATAACGAAAAACATGTATTCTTCAACGGGCACGTATCCTATAACGGCTAAAATGTTTTTGGGTTTGTACATCCAGGCATTGTGGAAGATTATATAGTTGTCCCATGGTGTTGTGTAAACAAACGCCATCGTGCAGACGAATGCAATTTTGAACAGTTCTAAGCGACTTATAAACGGCCATGTTATCAACGCCAACACTGCGATGACCGGCAGGGTATAAATAAGATGCACATCAATGTAAGTTAACATTTTCAGTATAGGTGTTTGATAAAACTGAAATATAAATATAAGCAATTATTAATCATAATATCAGTTAACATATATACCAATATATGAATTAAGATTGTATTATAATATAATATTATTATATTATTATATTATATTAGTAAGTAATTTTTACTAGGTATATATAGGTAGGTACATTATAAGTTTAAATTATTATTCATCAACTGATAAAGTCAAAATCAAATAATAGTATTATTTTAAAAAGCTAAATATCTATAGTATTAAATTTCTCTTTTTTTCGAATTTTATTTAATTGGATATTTTTGTTTTTACACTTTATAAATACTTTTAATGCATTGACTATTGAGCGTTTTATGTCAACTTCACATTCAAGATAAAACTAATTTATATAAATATAATACGAGTATACTATTGCTTGAAAAACTTATATAGATTTAATTATTAATAACAAATAATAAACAACTGTCATAAGTTGGATGTTATTGACGGGTTTTGAAGGTTACAGTTTAATAATATGCAGTGGCGTATTTAGGATTTCTAAGTGGAAGGATATACTAGAGATATAACTACAATGGTTGATACCAAACGTCCCAATATTCTATTACCTATTGATAAAGTGATAAATTAAACTTATCTATAACCATATAAGTATAAGTTAAAAAAAAGGGTGGTTCAAGGGGAGAAATATATCTCCCTAATTTCCCTCTCATAAATATGCCGCCGATATATTACGGTAAATCATAAAAACCGTGAAAATTTAAATTTTAAATTTTGGTTGTTGCTAAATCACTACAATTATTTGAAATACGTGGTTTTCATTTCATTATTGTGCATAATCCTTAAATAATCGTCAATTGAAATTTAATTTTGAGATAAAGTGATTAATCAGGGTTTAACAGAAAATTGTTTATTATGTGTTAAAAATTAAAATAATAATTTTGTTAAATTATTATTTGAAACAGATTAAAATTATTGTTAAAAAGTATTTTTTTAAATTAAATTCTTAACAATATAATTAATTTGTGTATAAAAGTAAAACAAAAAAATATCCTTAGGTTAAAAATCATTGTTTTTTTTTTTATATAAATATAATTAGAGCGACTAATTAAATTACCGTATGCAACATCAGTATAGAGTGAGTTCTCACGTACCAACTATTTTTCCTTTAGTCAATTTATATTTTATGTTTTGTAAAGAACAGACCATAATGGTGTGTATTATAATGTTTAAGGCTAGAATTTATAAGCAATAGTATGTTTTTTGTGACTTATAATTATTGGTTTAGTTAATAATGTTCACGAATCATTTCATGATGATTTTCAAATGGTGGTGTTTTTATTTAGCATATTTTGTATATGTTGAATAAAATGAATATTATTCCATATTTCAACTATAAAAAAAACTAAAAATGCATATTTTATGATATATTTCGTTACTAGACTTTTTTATCGTATGTCGGTATGTAATGACGTTATTCAAAAATACCTATATAAGAATATATTAAAGTTTAACAAAAGATCGTTTATGTTTAAAAATTTAAAACACTATGTAATTAGTAATTAGTAATTATTTCGTGTAATACATTTGAATAGCATTAATAGTTAAAAATAATATTTTATTAATTTTAAAATGTGTTAACTTTTTTTTTTTAGTGTAAATTTCATATTTTTTGTAATTTTTAATAAAACAAATATATATTTTAAAATTTTTTATTGCATGTAAATCTTAACTCTAATAATGATATTATAGCTTCTTAAATAATAGTATTTAATTTTAATATTTATTTATAAATCTTAACCTTTAATTTTATATTCACTAAAATGTTTGTAAGCTATAAAATTAATAATTTAAAGATTATATTTGATAAGAGTAGACATTATATTTTTTAATATTTATAAACTATAAATTTCTTAATTTCTTATTGATAAATATTACGAGTGGTAACTGTAATATGAATTTTATATACCAATTTATTTATTTTACAATGATGTTTTTATTGCAAAATTTTCTTTTAGGAGCATTAAAAAAGCATTAATCTTCTCCGTGGTAAAATATTGGGTTATTTTGAGTTATTGTAGCTATTTAAATGTTTTTTATTTTTTTTTTGATTTATATATTCGATAACATATTTGTTTATAAGTAAAAAAAAAAGAAAGAAAATTTAATACAATAACATTATTTATTGTTCTTATAGTAATTTAAAAGTATTGAAAATATATTCTGGCACAATTTTGTCTTTTTACACTATTCAAAATTTTGAAAATTAATTAATAACGATTTTAGTTATTTTATTCAAAAAATTGTTTGCAGGAGCTTTACATTTTATGCCACGATGTTTATTATTATTTACTTTGCATAATATTTGTTTAAAAATATTTAGGTCAATTTTTAGCTATTAATATAATGAACCCATTCGGCTATTTACATCGTCGTCTTATGGTACATCAGTATTGACTAAATTATTAAAAGCTAGTTATATTAAATGAAATAATATTTTTATATAATATATGCAATTGTTTTTTTGTCAAAAATTAGTTCAACCTATTGTAGTATTATCAACAAAAAAATTAATTACTTTAGTATAGCGATAAAAATATATTATAACTAATTATCACTTAGAAATGTAGGCTGACGGTTCGTTGTCACTCAGAAACATTTTTCGTCGTATATATGTAATAAACATATTGTGAAATTAGGCATGTAACTAATTGTCTAAGTGGATAATAAAATTGGATACAATTTAAATTATTTAACTATTTGCCTGGGTATTTAGTAAAATGCCTGATTTGACTATATTCTTACGACGTGTACAATGATTTATCAAGGAATTAAAATTTTACACAATCATTACAATAATCTAATCAATAATGAAGTACATTCGATCTCTACTGTATGTCTGCACAGTGTACAGCTGAGTTACTTCCGTGTTTGTTTTTTTTTTTTATTTAACTGATGTATTTTAAATATTTTTAAATTATTAAAAAAAAAACTACTTTGTTTTGAGACAAAAAATTATAAATGTTTGTAATTTTTCAAAAAAATAAAAAGAAAAAAATTAAATTCCAATAACGAAAATAAATATTAAATATATGTTAAAATGACTTAAAATTATGTAAAAAACCATTAATAGGTTAGGTTCAATAAATGGATATGTACCAAAAAAAACTTCCTTTGAATAGAAATTATATTATAATTAACACTAGGTATGAGCATCTTATCATAATATGAGATTATAAAATTAATGTATCAATTATTATATAATTATCTTTTATTAATGTCCATTAAACTCATGTAATTTTTTTATCAAAATAAAACCTAATTTATTATTGTTTATATATATATATATCAATACTAAGTCAACACATCACTACAGTTACCTTATCACATAATCGGTTGATTACATTTAAATATTATATTTATACAAACAGGCATAATATTATATTATTTAATAATTATATTAATTGTAATATATTAATTATTTAGTATAATTAATTTATATAGTACAAACACTACAAACTACAATGCCATCAAATGATGAATTAGAAGTAATAAATTTAAAATTTTGTTCTCTTCAAGGTAATGATTTAAAAAATTCATAATAATATGTAAAATCAGTCTTGTTTGTAAAGTATTTGTTATCCATAAAAATGTTTGTACAACTTTCATCAATAAAGCTCAATATTAAGAATATTTGTAATAATAAAAATCCATTTAATTTATATCATTGAAATTATAATTTAATCTAATCATTCAAGTAATTTAAGTTTTATTATATACAATTACTATTATTTTAACATATTTTTTTAATTACATCTTTTTAACCCATTATTGTTATATAAAATAATTATAATTTTTATTGCAAATAATCTTAAAAAAAGCTAAAAAGCTTAAACAAAGGAAGAGTTCCATGATAACAGTAGATATTAAAAAAAGTTCCACGATAAAAGAGAACATTAAAAAGGGTTCCAAGGATAAAAAAGTTTAAGAAACGCTGATCTATATACTTAATCAGAAAACCAAAAATATTATTTATTCACACGCGTTATGCCAAATATTAGCATTTTGGCGTGTTAGGCATCAAAATTTAACACAAATGCATTTTTTACGGACAACGAAGTGCACAGAGATAGTTGGTATACATATAAAACATTATAGACAATTGGAACTGGTATATTGTCGGATAATTGGTAATCATAACTCATTTTGTGTAAATTTATCTATATAGAAATTTATTTCTGGTATAATTTTATATTTTATTAATGATAGATTATTGATCGGAGATTTTTGGAGTATATTTTAGTTTACTTACATTATTTATAGTAGGTAAAAGTTTTTATATTTTTACTAGTTGACTAATTAATATCCACTTTTTAGTCGTTTTTATTTTCCTTTTATAATATACTTTAATTAATTATCACATTAATAGTTTTAATATCAATTATTTAAATACAATTATGATTATTAATAATTAATAAGTAACATAATATAATATTGTAAGAATAAAATTTTATTTTATATCTTTATCGACCGGATAAACCTATCCAGCAATACATATTAAATTTATCTTTAACTTTTTTATTTGAAAATATCGTCTTTATTGAATTATAATATTGTTACAATTAACATCGTCTTTACGATTATTCCTTTTTATCTACTTATTAAGAAAAAATAAATAAATATATTTATTTAAAAATTGGTGTTATGTTAATATTCCTGTTTTCTATAGATCTTAGGAGAGTGAATCATAAAAATTGTTCTAATATGGCAATGTATAATAACTTTATAATAGTATAGAATAGATGTAAAACGTAGTTGTTATAATTTCTACTGTTGAAAATGGAACAAATTTCTTACACTCTGTTTCAATTTTCAACATAATTCATATTACAATATAATTTAATGGTATAAATAAATAAAATAATAAAGTAAAAAAATTTATCAACAAGATTGCTGATAAAAATTAATTTGATATTATTTTTAAATTATCATTCATATGAAGTAATATTATTTTATAAATTCCTAATAAA